AGAGTAGCAAAAGCCCTTCCCAGGGCAACTACCCAAGACCTATAGCCTGGGTCTGGCCAGGCTCTAATTGGGCATTGTGATAAACTGTGGGACAAGATGGCAAAGGATGAGGAGCTTCATGTAGCTGCTCCACAGTTCTTAGTTTTTAAATTACATTTTAAACTGATTAGGCTACGTTATCGGCCTTGGATTCTTGGATATTTGGATTAATTGGACTATCTGCATCTTTATACTTTGAATGCCAGCTGGACTGCCTAGCCAGGTTCCATGAGATGTAGAGCCTTTATTGGTGCAATGAACAGGGAGGGGATTCTCCTAGGGAATGTGGATGGGAAGAGAGGGTGCAACATAACATAGGGGACAGCTCCAGTCTATGACCCATTGCTTAATAGGTGCCTTCCTGTGAAGCCTGGGGTGGATGAAGGAAAGGGAAGCTGGAGGAAGGGAGCTCAGCCATGGAAAGTGAGGGAAATTCCCAGGGAGGTGAACCAGTTCCCCAGGGGACAATTGTATCAGGGAAAGTGCAGAATAAAAGGAAACTTGCACTTCACCTCTGGGTCTGACCACCCTTCCAAGCAGTCAGTCAGGACCATGGACAAGCAACCCTCGCCTAGCCTAATGCATCTTCCATTGCTAACAATGGTTTTGTGTTCTTGCCTGGGTAACAGAACAGTGTCTTCTCTGTGCTGCATGTTACAAGTTCCAGCTCAACATCCAGCCCTCAACCACCCATAGTTCCAGGCCTGGTTTCAGATAACTGGCCTTGACAGGTACATACCAACACAGGTAGGCACGGAAGAGTTCCACTGGGCAAGGGCTCCAGGCATGGTCAGGCACTCGATGCTGCGGGACCCTTGGAGGGCATAACCAGCACTGCACTCAAACCGGATCACAGCCCCCACTGAGAAATCGTTGCCGATCCTCCTCCCATAACGGGGCTCTGGCACGGAGCTGCACTGCGTGGCGCTGGTTTGAGGAACCGCTTCAAAAAGACACAGAAGAGGGAACATTATGGGACAGAATCAGTGGCTTGGGAGAGGCAAATCCCAGCTGCATGCAGAGCTCGGGCTCTCGAAGACTGGATGTATCCCCTCCCGGGGGAAGTGGGGGTTGTCTCAAGAAGCAGATACAAATTTCAGTTTTCCTCTCCCAGAGTGTTTTTTTTTTTTTAATGTTATCTATGGTGTCTCCAGGAAAACTCAGACAAAACAGTGATATGGAATATCATCCTCCTTTCCCAGAGCAAATCCAGATTCAAACCAGATTCAATGTTGTTATTTATTTACTCATTTATACCTTGTCTTTCTCCTCATTGGGGACCCAAAGCAGCTTACATTGTTCTCTCCTCCCTTTTATCCTCACAACAATCCTGTGCGGCTGGTTAGGCTGAGAGTGTGTAGCTGGCCCAAGGTCACCCAGCAAGCTTCCATGGCAGAATGGGGGATTCAAACCCAGAAGAAGAAGAATCAGATCCTAGCCTGACACTATGACCACTACACCATGCTGGCTAAAAAAAATAGAATGAGTTGAGTTTAGATGAATTTTTTCAACTGCCTTTGGATTGTCTGGGAATTGGGTCCTGCCCATCCCTCAAGTACACTCATCTGCAGAATATTTATTTATTTAAATCAAATTCAGAGGAAGCCACGTTGAAGATAAAGAAAGGGCAGAGGCTGGATTTTTAAAATCTGAAAATCCTGGAGAGGCTTGGTTGGTAAATAATCCTTTAGCCAGAGCCATGTTTTTATTTATGTAATTTATAGTCCGCCTTTCTCACTGGGATTCAAGACAGATTACACAGAATGAGCCAATGCAATCGACAGGATGGGACATCCAATAAGCAACACAATACAAGAAGTTAGCCTATGGACTGCCCTGCCCTGGATGGCCCAGGCTAGCCCACTCTTGTCCCATCTCAGAAGCTAAGCAGGGTCAGCCCTGGTTAGTGTTTGGATGGGAGACCACCAAGGAAATCCTGGGTTGCTACGCAGAAACAAGCAATGGCAAACTACCTCTGTTCCGTCTCTTGCCTTGAAAACCCTGTGGGGTCGCCACTGGTTGGTTGCAACCTGAAGGCACTATCTGCCACCAGCCTATTGACTCCCTGCAAAACACACAAGGCTCATTAATCCACTCCTCCCCAGTGTAGACAGAGTACCTTGTGCAGTCCTCCTCCTTTGCATGGCAGCAGCTCCTCCCTAGGGTTGCCAGGTCCTGGCTGGCGGCTGGGAGGGGGATCCTTGGTCCTTTCTGGGATCTTCTGCACCATCACATTGCCAATATCGGTTGGGGGTGATGCTCTAGTTTTTGGGCAAACATCTATGGTTTGTAGCCAGTTTACCATAGGGTTTTGCTCAAAAACTAGAGTGTTGCCATGTGACATCACTTCCAGGTGATTTCATCACGTTACCTTTTGGGCCAGTTGGGGTCAGGAGTTCCCCCCTGCTGGCCAGCTGGCTGGTGGCAGGGAAGTACCCCGTAACAGCAGGGGTTCCGCTGCCACTGTTTGGGGTCGGGCAACCCTATCCCACCTATGCATCTGTGTTATGACTTGCATGCTGGAGCCAGCAGGCAAAGTGAGAAAATGGGCATGTTTCTGCCAGAGGAGCACCTGAGGAAAAGGGAGGGTTTGAGGCCCTCCTTTGGCCACCAGTTGCTCATCCCGGCACCAGGGGCAGGAAAGCGTTCCTTGAAGCAGGATCCAACCTGGCTATAGTAGTTATTGTCAAAGGCCTTGCCCCCTTCTCCAAAGACTGCAAGAGTAAAAGCCATCTATCATCCCCTGTGTGGCTAGCCGCCAAAGCAGACTAGAGGGTGTCTGATTCAGGCTTTGGGGGCGGGGGTCAGACTCTGGGAGGGGTTTGTTCCTTTTTGCTGTTCCTCTCCCTGCGGTAATCAGCAAAGATTGTGCGCAGCCCAGGGGGTTGCAATTAGCATTCCGGAGGAAGAAGGTAATTTTATATTTGACTTCATCAAGTCCTTTGATTCAGTTAAATCATTAACGATTGCTATCAAATCTCCCTCATAATTAAAGCAGAGAGTCAGTTGAAAGGTTCTCTGATTAGGGCAAAAAAAAATCAGCCAGAAGGTAGGAGGCCCGGGTCTTCTAGTGGAGGCTCAAGCCTACAACTCAGCTGAGTGGACCAGTGATTTCCTGGGGTTCTTTGCTGGAACTAGGAGCCCCTTCCGGAGAAGACACAACTGAGCCTCACCAAGTTTCCCTGGCCAAGATAATGTATGATCACAGGAAGGGCTGTTAATCAGGGACTCTAAATTAAGCCTTTGAAAAACACCCCTGGGGAAAGATTGTTTTTAAAAAGAGGAACATTCTCAAGAACAATTTAAGAACAGAATTGTTTGTGGTTGGTATTTTAGCATTTTGTGTGTGTGTCTCTGTGTGTGCCTGTGCATGTACCTGGAAGTCATGGTGACCTCTGGTGACTCCTACTGGGGCATGGAGGACGTTCAGAGAAGTGGCTTAATAGCCTGCCTCTGCCTTCCAGCCCTGGTATTCTTTGGAGGTCTCCCATCCAAATACTTGCCAGGGTTGGCCCTGCTTAGCTTCTGAGATCTGATGAGATTGGGCTTGCCGGGGCTACCCAGGTCAGGGCCTAAGATCAGAGTTTTGACTGGCAAAATGAGAGGTATTTAGGCTGGAAGCCAGAAGGGCACTCTGTATATTCATGTGTGTGCACCCACAGAAGGAAATAAAGCTAAAGTTTGCCATTGAGTCATAACCAACTTGGAGTTTTCAAGGCAAGAGATAAGCAGAGGTGGCTTGCCATTGCCTTTCTTTGCATAGTATCCCCAGTCTTTCTTGGTGGCCTCCCATCCAAGTATCAACCCTGATTAGCTTCCAAGCTCTAAAAAGATCAGACTAGTCTGGGCTATTAGGACCGCTACACAAAGGCAGGTACTGGGCAGTGGGGGAAAGTAAAGTAACAGTTACATGGAAGGCTCTGATCTTCCCAGACACTCAAGGTGTCTGGGGAGTGGTTGGTAAGGTCTGGCTCGAGTCCATTCAGACCAGAGACCCATCTCTGTGCTTAGAGAATGCTCCAAGCAAGGTAAAAAACAGCCCACACTGCAACTGACCTGGCAGGCAGCATACTGGAAGCAAGAGAACTTTGTGCAGGACCCTGGGGAGGGGGAGGGAGTGCATCAACAGTACCATACTCAGAACCCCCATCAAAACTTGGAGCTGCCACTCTGCATCCTGGCCTGTCTAAGGAAACTGCTGGCAATTGGTGCCCCAAAGTAATTGTTCTCCTCACATTGCTAATGTGGTGGGTACTAATCCAGTCTCTTCTTCTTCTAATGTGTGCAGCATTCAGTATGGAGAAAATCACTACTCCACTGCTCTGGACATTTAGATGACAATTGCCATGACTTCTAGGACGCTTTGGGACTCCTTTAGAGCTTTTCAGAGACAGATCAGTAAATGGCAGACACCTTCCCCTGAAAAATAGTTTATTCATTACTATTGCTCTTCCTTAGAGCACTGTGAGGCTACAGTGGAGCATTAGGTATGTTTTCCATGGTGCATACACCCTTCACATGGGGACTGCAAGAGCCATTATGCTTAGTCAGTGCATGCTGGCTGCCCAGCCATTATAGAAAGAGAAGCTCCATAGCCTGAAAATACTGATCTCGCAGATGACATCTCTCAAGCTCCCCAAAGGAAGTTTCTTGTAATGCTGATGGACTGTGGATCATCTCTGATCAAGAGTCTACTGGGAGTGCAGCTGTTAAAACTGCTCTGAAACGGCAGGTGGTTTGTCAGAAGCATTTCTTAAATACTTGAAAGCAGCAGAAAACACAAAACACACTTAAGCCAACAATTTAAAAGCCAGGAACAGCGGCAGCAATAAAACTCAGGGGATTAAAAAAAAATCATACCCAAGAAGAACAGTCAAGGTGAAAGTGTAACTAAAGGCCCAAGGAAAGAGAACCATTGTGTTACCTGATGCTTCAGTGACATTGGTGCTGCCATCAGGTGAAGACGAAGAAGAAGAGAAGAGATTGGATTTATACCCCGCCCTTCACTTGGCGTCTCAGAGCGGCTTACAAACTCCTCTCCCTTCCCCTCCCCACAACAGACACCCTGTGAGGTGGGTGGGGCTGAGAGAACTCTGACACAAACTGCTCTTTCTCAAGGACAGCTGTGCCAGAGCTTGTGACTGACCCAAGGTCACATCAGCAGGTGCAAGTGGAGGAGTGGGGAATCAAACCCGGTTCTCCCAGATTAGAATCTGTGCACTTAACCACTACACCAAACTGGCTCACTCCTTGAGACTTCCAGAGGTACAGTGGTATCCCAGAAAAGTGTCTCTTCCCAGCTGTGGCCCCATTCACATGGCGAATTTGCCGCAGGAGAGCCACGGACGCCGGGCGGATTATCTGTTCGCGATCACACCACCACATCTGGCAAGTGTCGCGCACCCGTGGTTTCCCGCCGAAAACCCGCAGTTAAAAATTACCTGCTAACAAGTACTAGCAACTGGTTTGCCATGGGCTGCTGATGGACTTGGTTGGTGTGATCGCGTCGGTGCACGACTCTTCCTTCCGGCCGTCGTCTTTGCTGCGGGTGCCGACTGCCGAAACCCCGCTGCACAGCCGTCGTGTCTGATCGCTTAATTGCGGATCAAGCTGCGACAGCGCAAATAGCCACGCTTCCCCCCCCCCCCCCGTGTTATCTGGCCCGTGTGACTGGGGCCTGCCTTGCTTTTTGAGGGGGTAATGGGATGCTCTGAAGATGACGTTAGGAAGCAGGCAGGCTGATTAAGGGTGCAGGCAGTGCACAGGCTATCGACAGCCTGATAGGTTAAAATTAGGGCCTTGAATCTGAGGCAGGGGCGGCATCCATCAGGTGGAAGCAGGAGGACCTCAGGGCTGAGGAGGAAGCAGCCACAGGTAAGTCCCCCCCCCCCGAGTATCGCGGGTTTCTCTTCTTGTAGTTTCAGAAACTTGCTCCTCTTTGTTGAGTGAGATTTAGGGGCGACAATTCGCGGTATGACCTTGCGGCAGATCAATGCTATTAACAAGACACACATGCCCATTTCGCTGAGACACTGAATTCTCTGGGTGTCTGTGGCCAGTCTCTGAACCTACCTTGGTAGACAAAATGGAAACCTTTGGCGGTAGCTTGGCCTTTGGCGGTGAACTTGATCAGGATTTGGTTTGTGGTGGCCAGAGGCAACGATTCCCCTATAAAGGAGAACACAATAAAATTAAAATCCCCTCTCAAAGTAAAGCAAATAAAGAATTTCCTATCTTTAAACAATAAAAGCAAAGGCCATCATAGATCATAAGGCTATGCACACATTTAAGAAGAGTTTCGAGGGGCTGTGGCTCAGATAGGGTTGTCAGTCCCCAGATCCCGGCAGGGGTTGCCACAGTTTTTGGGGCTTCTACCTCGATGCAATGATCTCACCTAGAAGTGATGTCATCACATTGGGGGTGTCATCTGGTGACACTCTGGTTGGAGGGCAAAACTCTATGGTTTGAAGCCGGTTTTACCATAGTTTTACCAGTGTGTCACTGCACAACATCCCTGACATTGTGATGTCACTTCCAGGTGACGTCATTGCTTCGGGGACTTCCTGGATCACACCCCAAATCCCCCCACCAGCATGATGTGGGGACCTGGCAACCCTACTCAGAGATAGAATATCTGCTTTGCATGCAGAAGGTCCCATGTTCAATCCCCAGTATCTCCATTTAAAAGGAGTAGGTAGGAGGTGATGTGAAAGACCTCCATCCAAAACTCTGGAGAGCCACTGCCAGTCATCGTAGACAAGAACTACTTTGGTAGACAATATCAACTTATCTGACTCAGCTGGAGGCAGCTTTGTGTACATATTACATGTACTCTGGGATCACAACTTCCTGTCTTGTGCACACGCCCGGCCCTGCATCATCTCCTGCGGGGGTATAATACCTGGCAGAACATCCACACTCACTGCCTGCCTAATGCTTGCCAGTACTGCTGATGAAGGGGAACGTGGAGATTTGCAACATGTTGGGCAGGGGTCTTCCCCCCCCCCCTCTTTAAAGTCCTCAAAGCATTTTCATGACCCCAAGATTTGGGCATATCAGGATAAACACAGCCTGGAAAACCACAACAACATGCCTGGGGGGGGGGGGGAGATGATAGAAACTCTACCAAAACTAGCCCTTAGAGGAACTAAAACCTTTAAAAAACAAAACAAAAAAACCCTCATCAAATCCTACAGACAGAAGCTTCCTAGCACAGAAAGGTCTACTGTTGAAGGGGATCTTTCTTTGCATTACAAAAGAGTGCAATTAGGGCTCAAGTGAAGGAACTAACATGGAAGCAGAAAGGAAGGCGCTAGCAGGTAGCCTCAGGTCCATGACCACAGTGTCCATTTTGTTTAGACCTTTGGGAGGCTGCATCATCTCACCTGTATGAGAACCAGAGAGAGAGCTGAGGAGTCGGGAATGCTGATTGGGGCCATCGTGCACTTCAATGATATCATGTAGAGCCGTCTGGAAGAAGGCAAACTGGCCAAAGACCACTGTCGATGAAAGATGCCAAGGGAAAAAAAAGTTGAAGAGAGAGGTTGAAGGATAGCGATTCAGCACAGCTGATTAAATCCAAGCACCAAAATTAAGAAATATCCCAAGTGAGTTTGGGTACGGTTAAACCAACACAAGATCATAATAAATTAGCATTTATTCAGGGGGCTCAATGTGCCTTGCATATCTGTTATCATCCAAATTCATACATGAACCGTGCATAAAAAGAACAGTATTACTATCCCTTCACTGCAAACCAGGGGTTCATGCGGAGAAAGAGAAGACCTAAGAGCACTCAGAGGGATAGAGCTCATGGAAGGTTTTCACATGCGCAGCAGTCTCAGGCCAAGTGGAAGGGCTAAATTTTTTTCTTCACTGTCTGCTTGGTGCTAAACGAAAGCAACTGTGACTGTATCCTGAGCGTGAGATGTAGCATGAGATATTTCTTTTGATGCAATATTAAAACCAAATTAAACAAAATCATGTAAACCATCTGCTGTACTTTTCACTGCTCCATATGCACACTGTTTCATTAACTAAACTTGTTAACAACGTTAAAGTGCGAGATGCTGCAGCAGCCCCTGCTCATGCAAGTGGAACTGCACTAAGCGTGTTGCCCTTTCTGCTCCCCCCATGGCTAGATCCCACCCCTTCAGTTTACCTAACAAGGGAACATTTGAACTAGGGACATTTTGATGCATCCATACATCATTGGATATTGTGCTGTTGTTCCATTTAAGCAATCATTCACCAACTGATTTTTTTCCCCTGTGGAGATAAGCCAAACATCCAGTGGTGGTAAAGCAAAGTCTGAGTCCAGTGGCACCTTTAAAACCAACACTTGATCAGATATCTGAAAAGGTGTGCATGCACACAAAAGCTTATACCCAGAATTAAACGTTGTTGGGCTTAAAGGTGCCCCGGACTCAAACTTAGATCTGTTGCTTCAGACCAACATGGCTACCCACCGGAATCTATCCAGATGTGGTAGTTAAACTACAGCACAATATCCAGCAGTGTGTGGATGTGGCCCTGGTTCCCTGTGCCACTATACAACACTATACAACATAGAGTTGCCAAGTCGTTGCAGTTGCCGCAGCGGGGGACTCCCAGGAGGCGACTGGAGTGCGTCGCACGCATGTCACCCGGAAGTGACGTTAGGATGCCGGGCATGCTGGGGGCGGGGCCACGACCCTCGGTGGGAAAACCATAGAGTTTTCCCTCCGATGGTCGTGGCCCCGCCCCCAGCATGCTTGGCATCCTAACGTCACTTCCTGGTGATGCGCACGTCGGGGCGGGGTTCCCCCCAAGGCCCAATCCGCCAGTGGCGGGGACTTGGCAGCCCTAATACAACACCAGTATTATACCCCCCACAGGAGGTGATGCAGGGCCGGGTATGTACACAAGACAGGAGCTTGTGAACCCAGAGTACGTGTAATACATACACAAAGCTGCCTTCTGCTGAGTCAGATAAGTAAATATTAGCACACAGCATCTTGAGGAGGAGCTGTGGCCTACTGGTAGAACATTTGCAGATTTAATCCCTGGCATCTCAGGTAAAAGCATCTTAAGTAGAAGGGATATGAAAATACCGAACTTTGGGGAGCTGCAGCCACCATGAGGCTGAGTCACCTCTAGAAGCTAGACAGTGTTGCCAGTCTAACCCGGCCCAAGGCAGTGCCACACGTTCCTATATCATTAAAACTAGCCTTGGCAAATGTCCTGTTGCTCTAGAAGCCAGCGCAAGAATTTAGGAGCCAGACTCATTTTTCAGCCTTCAGGGTTTTGTATTTTAATGACCATATTTTCCAGTTATTTACCGCTACAGAACCTATCCTAAATTCTTCACAGTTCCTTGTAATTTTATTAAAGCAATAACAGAAGTGTTGTATGTGAGCACTGTCAAGTCACAACTGACTTGCAGTGACCCCAGCCAGGGCTTCCAAGGGAAGTGAGAAACAAAGGTGGTTTGCCATGGCCGTCTTCTGCAGAGTCTTCCTTGGTGGTTGTCCAACCCACATACTGACTCTGGTTAGCTTCAGAGACCTGACGGGGCCGGCTATATACCATGACACCTTCCCTCCCCAGAAGTATTATAGTTGTCAATAGCACAACAAAAAGCCCTAACCTTAATTATTTTATTTATTTATTTAATTTGTATCCCGCCCTCCCTGCCTGGGCAGGCTCAAGGCGGCTTACAGGTTATACACACACACACACACACACACACACACACAAAACAAAGGAGTTAAAACACAGCATTTAAATAAGTAAAACCACATCATCTAAAATCATAAGTGCCAGTAACGTAGATGTCAAAGTGCTAAAAAAATGGTGGTGGCATGCTCTCAGCATCCAGATGGTCGGCCGCCGCCACAGTCTGGGCTCCCGCCAGGCTGTTGGATATTAAATTAAGTTAAATCGGTGCTGATGTTGATGTTGGGGCCAGGGCTGTAACATTAGGAGGTGGCACCCTAATTGAAAGCCTGGGGAAGAGCACCATTTTACAGGCCCTGTGGAACTGTAAAAGGTCCCGCAGGGCCCCGATGTCATCTGGGAGCTCATTCCACCAGAATGGGGCCACCACAGAAAAGGCCCTGGCCCTTGTCACCGCTAGCCAGGCTTCTTTAGGGCTTGGAAGGGCCAAGCGATTTTGGGACCCCGATCTTAGTGCTCTCTGGGGGACATGTGGGGAAAGGCTGTCCCTTAGGTAAGTAGGTCCCTGACCATATAGGGCTTTAAAGGTAAGAACCACCAGCACCTTGAACCAAATCCAGTATGCTATAGGCAGACAGTGCAGTGCTTTTAGGGCATGCTGGATGTGCTCCCGCATGGGGAGACATAGCAACAGCCTCACTGCTGCATTCTGCACTAGCTGCAGCTTCCAGATTTGGGACAAGGGCAGCCCATGTAGAGAGAATTGCAGTAAACCAATCTCAAGGTGACCATTGTGTGGGTCACTGTTGCCAGGCCATTGCGTTCAAGGAAGGGAACCAGCTGCTTAATCAGCTGCAGATGGTAAATGGCAGACTTCGCAGTGGCTGCTACCTGGGCCTCCATTGTTAAGGAGGCATCCAGGAGCACTCCCAAACTCCTAACCTCCGACATTGGCACCAGCAGTGCCCCATTGAAGGTTGGGAGTGGGATCCCTAACCTTGGTCTGCTCCGACTCAGGCACAGGACCTCTGTCTTCGTCGGATTCAATTTCAGTCAACTCAGTCTAAGCCAACCAGCCACAGCTTTCAACGCCAGGTCCAGATCTCCCGGACTATAGTCTGACTGGCCATCCAACAACAGTTAGAGCTGGGTGTCATCAGCATATTGGTGACAACCCAGTCCGTGACTCTGTGCAATCTGGGCAAGGGGGCACATATAGATGTTAAACAGCATTGGGGAAAGCACTGCTCCTTGGGGAACCCCACAAGTTAGTGAGTGCCTTCTGGACAGCTATTCCCCAACAGCCACCCTTTGTTCCCGACCCTGAAGGAATGAGGATAGCCACTGCAAGACAAACCCCTGAATCCCGGTGTCGGTGAGGCGGTGGATCAGTAGTTGATGGCTGACTGTGAAGTTTCTAACAACATCACTGCCATACCACCTTGACCATCAAGTTTCTAGCAAAAACACTGCCATACCACGTCAATCCAGATGCCTCCGGAGATAATCTCTGAGGATGACCAGGACCATCTCCTTTCCATGGCCTGGTCGGAAACCAGAATGGAAGGGATCTAATGTGGAGGTGTCATCCCAAAAACCCTGCAGCTGAATCACCACCGCCCTCTCAATGAATTTGCCCAAATAGGGCAAATGGGTTACCGGCCGGTAATTAGCTAATTCGGTCAGATCCAAAGATTTTTTTAGGAGAGGGCGGATCACCGCTTCCTTTGGTGCATTAGGGAACAGTCCCTCAATGAGGGACTTGTTGATAATCTCCCTTAGTGCACCTCATAACCCCTTGTGGCCAGCTTTAATTAGCCATGATAGGCACGGATCAAGCCTGCAAGTGCTAGGGTGAACAGATGAGAATAATTTGTCACCCCCCTCTAGGCTGAGTGGACTGAAGTAATCCGGAACTTGACAAGAAAAGGCACATGGAGCCAGCCTCAAGTTCCATTACTGTCTCAACTGTGGTGGGGAGGTCGTGGCGGAGCGACAAGACTTTATCTGCGAAATAGCTCACAAAGGCCTCACAGCCCATCTCCAATTCATTATCATTTGGTCTGCCCTGTGGCAGCGTAGTAATAGACCAAATCGTTCTAAATAATTGGGCTGGGTGAGAGCTTGCAGACGCCATCGTGGCCGCGTAAAACCAAATTTGTCCCTGATTTCTCATAACTTAATTACTGCTTTAAAAAGCTTCACTTAACTGAATTTTGGAGCCAGCAGAGGAAGCAAATGATTAAGAAATGAATTCATCTGCCACTGAATAGAGTACTGTTAACGTACAAACAAGCAGTGACAAGAACTTCACGCACATGCATTTTTGTGCTCTACAATAAAACATTCTGATGTGAAATGATAAGCTGTGAATTTCTACTGAGGAACACTGAGAGACAATGCTGAAAATACAAGGTGCCACAATAAAAAAATTAGGTGCCATGGCAACCTGGCATCTGAAATTTGTTGAGCCCTAAATAAAAATACATGGGCCAAAGTAGGATAGCACAAAAGGGAATAGGATCTAATCCTAAATTAAAACAAGCAGGGACCTCTGATAATCATGGGGGGGGGGATCCATTACATGTCTTGGTTTTATTTCCTCGCCCCATTGCAGCTGCTGGCCCTGCCTTCTCCCTCCCCTCTCACCAGCAACAGCCACCTAGCTCCAGATGCCCAGACATGCCCAGATTTCTCCCCATCCCCATCCCCATCCGAGACCGTGCTGGTAAGCCCCACACAGCTCCCAGCGACTGGGCCCACCAAGGCTTCCTTCTTAGTCAACTGTGGCAAGCCCTGCATGGCACTAGGCTGCTGAGCATGCTAAGGCTCCCCCCCCCAA